GAAAATCAGGAAAAAGTAAAGGAATTTTATCAAACGTACTGGAAAAGTATTAAATTTCCAGAATTGCTGAGAAAATATCTTTGAAAAGGAGTTTTTCAAAAATTGAAAAGATTTAATTCTTTTTCGATTTTTTGTTTGTTTTTCTTATAAACTTTTAAATCATAAATAATAATATTAATATTAATTAAAATTTAAATAGGTAATATGAAATTGAATTTATTTAAAATAATTTAATTCTTGAAGAACAATCATGAAATGGTATTACTTAAAAATTATTCAGTAATTAACTTAACTTACATATTCCAAAAAATAATTTAATTTTGGTAGCTTTGCGTTTACAATTTTTATCAATAAGTGAATTTCAAAAGGTTTAAAATTGAATTTTCAGATAATTTTGATTTTACTTTAATAATTTTACTTAAAAGTTTCAAAAATAATTTTATTTTGACGCAGCTTTGCGTTTACGATTTTTATAATTAGAATTTCAAAAGGCTTCAAAAATTAGACTTTTGAAAAATTTCAATTAGAATTTAATAATTTTTATAATCAATTTAAATTCAATAGATTTCAAATTCAACTTTTAGAACATTTGAAATAGAATTTGACAATTTTACTTCATTTATTAGAAAATTTTATTTAAAAATTCAAAAAATAATTTAATTTTAGTAGATTTTCTTTTATAATTTTTATAATCAATTGAATTTCAAAAGGTTTTGATTTTTGAATTGAACTTTTAGAAAATTTGAATTAGAATTTAATAATTATATTTAAAAATTCAGAAAATACTTTAATTTTAGGAGATTTTCTTTTATAATTTTTATAATTAATTTATTTTCAAAACGTTTTTAATTAAACTTTTAGAAAATTTGAATTAGAATTTAATAATTTTACTTAAAATTTTAAAAAATATTTAATATTAGTAGCTTTGCTTTTACAATTTTTTGTAGATTATCTAATTTCAAAGTGTTTGAAAATTGATGGTTTTGAATTTAAAAATTTTAATTTTTATGTAAAAATAGTAATTATTAAATATTTATCCAAAAAAGAAAAAAAAATTAAATGTTTCGAATAATTTTACAATATTATCGATATTCAGAAATGTAGTAGAAAATTTCTTTTGATCTAATAATAATTTTTATAGTGAATTAGAATATTAAAAAATTTTTTTTTTTGAAGAAAAAAATCAAAATTTGTATATCTCTAATTCAGGAAAAATCAATAACAAATTTTTTCGTTGGCAAAAAATAAATTTTTCTTCGAAATCCCCATCTGTAAATAGTATAGTCGTAGAGGGTAAACTAGAATTCGAGCTATTGCATTCTGTCGCCTGTGTACAATTTTTTCTTTTCCCTTTCGTTTTTTCGTCTTCCTTTTTTTTATCGTCTCATATAGAAGAAAAGTGCCTCGAACGATGAAGAAAAGTGGAGCCACTTATTCATGCTATGAATTATTTATTCTTCTGAGTGGTAAAAGTATTTTTCTTTAAGTAGTCTCGAGATGTAAATTTTCAAGAAACAAAAAAAAAGAGGAAGAAGGAGAAGAATGAAAAAAAAAAATTCTACTGAAATTTCATTAGGAAGTTCTATAAGAAATCGGAAAGAAAATGAGCTTAAATGAATTTTTATTTTTCATTACCTTAAAATATAGAAAAAAAATTTTTTTTTTCTACGAGAGTAAAAAAACTGATTTTATCGCAGTTGAAGTGCAGCACGTATTTTTTTTCTTTTTTATTATTCATTGAAAGTACTTCTCTTTGCAAAAATTCTAAACAGAACATTTTTTTTTCACCTCTAGCCGCAAAAGATTTTCAAACAAAACAAAATTTTTTTTTTAGTTTATTCACTGAATTTCAGGATAACGTCTATTCATCAAAGGAGATTTACTCTCGTGTTGAAAATACTTTTTTGAAATTTTTCTCGAATGGAGGAGAAAAAATTTTTGAAGCTAAAAATCGTTTCTCCCTCTCTTGAAATTCACGGGGAAATATTTTTAAGAAACGAATTTTCCTTTCAACAGAAAAAGATTTCTTTTTTGTTTCTCTGTGTTTCTTAAAAATTTTTCCCTTGTATTAAAGATGAGTGCAAAATTCTACACGTTGTTCGCTCCCTATCGCGACCTCGATTTGTGTAAAAGGGGGGAGAGAGAGAGAGAAGGATTCAAAAATTTTACGCGCCCTCAAGCGTATAACGGATAAGGATCACGATTTTAAACAAACTGCGGTAGAAAACTTTCGACTTGGAGATAAAACGGCTGCATAAGCTCAGCCAAAAATTTCGTTGAGGTGGGATCTTTTATGCTCTTACACAACATTCGTTATTTTTCACCTCGTGAATCTTTGAATACGAGTTGGAAAAATATTTTCTTATCTCTTCAATTTTTTTTAACTAAAAACAGTATATTTTAGATTTTTTCTACTTTACGCTGATTTTATTGGTGCGCAATTATTTTTTGTGACAATTTGCCTCGAATTTGGTAATTTTTTAATTAATTATGATTTCTTAGTTGAAAATTACGTCAAGTTTTAATAGAAGTTCACAAAATGGGAGTTGGTCGAAGTCGTTAAAGCGCCGAATTCGTAAATATGCGCCGTGCGTTCGAATCTCCACGAAGTTTATATTTTTTTGCCTTGAATTATAATCAAACTATTAATTATTTTAGAAATCTAATTATTAGGAGAGCAAAATTAATTAGTATTAGTATTAATTAACATAAGTTTGTTAATTAATAGTTAAAATTATTAATAATCATAATTATTAATAATCTCTCTCTCTCTCTCTCCCCCCTTTTACACAAATCGAGGTCGCGATAGGGAGCGAACAACGTGTAGAATTTTGCACTCATCTTTAATACAAGGGAAAAATTTTTAAGAAACACATAATTGTTAATTAATTACAATTAATTTGAATGCTAATTAATTTACTATCCTAATAATTAGATTTCCCAAATAATTAATAGTATGACTATAATCCAAGGCGAAAAAATATAAACTTGGTGGAGATTCGAACACACGGCGCTTATTTGGAGAATTAGACGCTTTAACGACTTCGACCAACGCCCGTTTCAAACTATCAATCACTTGCAACTGAAAAATATTTGAAACTATTCCAAATTGAACTTAAAATTTGTATAAATTGACCTAATTGAAATAATTACATTTATTAAATTATTAATTGACTTTAATTATTAATTAATTGATTTAATATTAATTTGATTAATAATTATACAATTGAGTGTATAAATAAATAAAAAAAAAATTTTCTTCAGTCTTTTATTTTAATTGCAATGAAAGGAAACACGTTGGGTAAAATGTATATCATGGAATTTTATGTATATACGTAAAATATTGTAAATAATACATGTTTTTTCCATCCCTTCAATTGTCTCATCTCTATGGAACAAAATCTCTTCTTTCTTCTTTCATCTTAACGACTTCCTGCACATTACCTTAAATCCCTGAAAGCGACCTTCCGTATCTAAGCGAGAGCATGAAGCTCTAGCGAGATGTTTGTAATTAAAGCTATGGCCCTCTCCATATATAATTCACGATCCGTTTCACGGTGAAAGCTTCTCTACGAGCTTTGAGCTTCCTTTCCTTCCTAACTCTGTCTGTCTAACTGCCATGCATCTCTTCACTTCTTATCCTCATCCTTCTTCTTCTTCTTCTTCGTCTTCTTTTTTACCCTCCCACTCTTCTACTTCAAAAACTGATTTTCATAACCCATTAAAAAAATTTTATTCTCTTTAAAAAAGAGAGAAACTTTTGTAATTTTATTTTCTCTCATACGTACAACTCGTCTTTATGATTTTCGTTTGTAAGTTAATCTTATTTCTCTCAGAAAAATAATTTTGAATTTTAAATTCTTGTTTGGAGGAAAAAAATAAATTTTTAATTTTAGTTATTGTACTTTATACTCAGCTCATTAGTTTATTATTAATTAATCATATTTATTTATTATTATTTTGATTATATTTATTATAATATTTGTTTATTATTATTTTTATAAAATTACTAACTTAGTAAAATGATAATTTTAATTAAAAAAAATATAAGTAGGACATAAAGTAAACTCTGAAAACATTGAATACTTTATTACTTTTTTTTGTACTAGAGAAAAAATTCATCTTTAAATGTCACTTTGATATAACCTTAATAAGAATATCTTATTTATAATTTTACTTTTTATGGAATAATAATAGCTGCATAATATCAATATTATTAATGCTTAATAACATAATTGTAGTTAAAAATTTAAAAGCTAAAAAAGTAGCAAAAATACTTTCAAATGTATTAACATATAACATTGATGTCAATAAAATTGACATAGCTAGGGAATAAATAAATTTAAATAAATAAATTTAAATAAATAAATTTAAATAAATAAATAATCAGTTTCAACTAAAATGTAAAATAAATTTAAATAAATATATAATTTTAACTAACAGTATTTTTAAAGGTGAAAGAAGAAATTATTTAACAGTATTTTTATTTCAGTTAAAGTTTTTAGTTTCAATTTTTTTTTTAAATTAAAAAATGTTGTTAGTTAAAAATAGTAAATGGAAAATGTTCGGAAAATTTTAGTAAAATAAAACAACTGTTGTAGAAATAAAAATGAAACAAGTAAGCGAATGAAGTACATTTGTTGTTCGAAAGATTGAAATTTTTTTTTTTTTTTTTTTGCAGTCAAAATATAAAGAGAGGATGAAAAATTGTTTTTCTTTTTGTTTGTTAGATGATATTGTCAGTAAACTAGGTCAGAATTGAGGAAACGTTCTGAATTCATTTTCACATACCATCAATAATTCAAATGCGTTCCATTATTATGCACCTGTGATATCAGAAGCTGTTGGCGGCGCGTTTCGCCATATATATTATATATACATATATATACGTATACAACAGACATTTGAATTATATGCACACGACACGAGATTGCGGTCTTTGGAATGCAATTCGTCTCGTCAATTTTGTCACGATGCATAATATAAATTTCATTTTCCAGGTGGCTTCATTTGCTTTTTAACCTCGGGGTACAGTTGGTCGTTGGACTGCCACTTGAAATGGTCCATGGCAGTTTGAGGATAGGAGCAGTTTACATGGCTGGCGTCTTGGCTGGTGAGTTATTTTTAATATTTTTTTTCTCCTGAAAATATTTTCCGGTTATCATTCAATCAATTTATTTATTATATATTTATTATAAATTATAATTGCAATTAAAATTTAATTATGTAAAAATTTAAATATTAAAATTCAACACTTTTAAATAATTTTCTTATTTCCATTTATTTTCAAATCAATCTTGAGTAGAGTGGGGTGAAAAAGACATACAATTAAAAATGCTAAAAATTCTTTCATAATTATTTATTTGTCATAAAAATATATAAAAACACAAAAATTTATAAGATAATATTTTGCCAAAATCACAAAGTGGATTTTCTCCTCACCAGATGGGGCAAAAAGTACCAGTTGGAGAAAAAAAATTTTAATTCCGATTTTATACCGTAAAAAGTGTTAAAGTTTCTTTTTCATCCCACTTCACTCGATTAATTTGTGAATAATTGAATTTCTTCGAAGAATTTTATTAAAATTTTTAAAAATTATAATTAAATTCTTTTAAACAATTTCTTAGAATTTTTTTCCAATAATGAAGTTTTTTTTAATAATTTTAATTGAGAATTTTAAAAGAAATTGAATTTTTTGAACAAATTCGTTCAAGTTTTTAAAATAATCGTGTTTCTTAATATTTGAAATAAAACTTTTAATTATTCAACTCTATTAAAATTTTTAGAAAATAATTAAATCCATTTAAGAAATTTTATTAAAATCATAAAAAATAATTTAATTCTTTCGAAGAATAGATAGATAATTTTTTTAATTTATTGAATATAATCGATTTTGTTCATAATTTTAGTTAATAATTTTACTATTAAAATTTTATTAAAATTATTAATAAAAAATTAAACTCTTTTAAACAATTTTATTAGAGTTTTTGTAAATAAATAAATTTTTTTAACGAAATGTATAGAAATACATTTTTTTGGAATAATTTTAATTGAAAATTGTAAAAATAATTGAATTTAACAAAAGATTTTTTTCAACTTTTTAAAATAATCGTGCCTGTTTAAGAAGTTTATTATTTATAAAATATAATTTAAGTCTTGCAATGAATTTTACTATTTATAAAAATAATTGAATTGTTTTGAAGGATTTATTAAAATTTTAGAAAATAATTAAATTTTGGAAGAATTTTACTATTGAAAAAAATAATTGAATTGTTTCGAAGGATTTATTAAAATTTTAGAAAATAATTAAATTTTGGAAGAATTTTACTATTGAAAAAAATAATTGAATTGTTTCGAAGGATTTATTAAAATTTTAGAAAATAATTAAATTTTGGAAAAATTTTACTATTGAAAAAAATAATTGAATTGTTTCGAAAGATTTATTAAATTTTTTAAAAATAATTGAATTTTGCAAAGATTTTACTATTGAAAAAAATAATTGAATTGTTACGAAAGATTTATTAAAATTTTAGAAAATAATTGAATTGTTTCGAAAGATTTATTAAAATTTTAGAAAATAATTGAATTTTGGAAAAATGTTACTATTGAAAAAAATAATTGAATTGTTACGAAAGATTTATTAAAATTTTAGAAAATAATTGAATTTTGCAAAGATTTTATTATTTAAAAAAATAATTGAATTGTTACGAAAGATTTATTAAAATTTTAGAAAATAATTGAATTTTGCAAAGATTTTATTATTTAAGAAAATAATTGAATTGTTTCGAAAGATTTATTAAAATTTTAGAAAATAATTGAATTTTGGAAAAATTTTACTATTGAAAAAAATAATTGAATTTTTTCGAAGGATTTATTAAAATTAAAAAAAATAATTGAATTCTTTCGTGAAGTTTTATTAAAATTTTGTTGAAAATAATTTAATTTTTGCAAAAAATTTAACAATTCATAAAAATAATTGAATTTTTCCGAAAAATTTTAGTAAAATAATTGAATTCTTGCGAAGAATCAAACCGAAGAGTCTCATCTAGTTACGTATTTTTTTAATTAATTTAAATCAAAAACTCTTCTTTAGTTAATTTTTTTTTTCGTGCAATTAAATAATATTACATTGCCAGTAAAGAAAATACAGAATCACTGTTATAAAATCTTATTACAACAATTGATTTCTCACCCCTCACAGTTTCTTAAATATTGTGTCCCAGTTTGACATTCTTTGGTCGATTTTTGATAAATTTTTCAAGTCGTTACTTCAGAAAAGTTTTGAGAGTCTAATTAAGAAAAAGTATCTGTGCGCTCATTAGCGGAGAATGAGATCAGAATCATTTGTTAGACGTTCGGAGTTTTGCATTTTTAACAAAGAGAGTATAAGTGAAAGAGAGAGAAAGAGAGAAGGAGAGAAGAAAAGAAAGGCGTTCTTTCGTTTTCATTTTCTCTCTTCTCATTCCATTTATAATGTTATTTTGTGGTAAGTAGCGTATCAGCTAGCGTCACTATATTGCAATATATATATATACATATATATCTATGCTAACTGGGTCAAGCGAATGTGTATACGTAAATTTTTAGTTTGAACAGAAACAAGAGGAATACCTCGTAAAAAGATTCATCCGAGCGTTTACAAAGTGCCACTCTTAATGACCGAGTACTGTTTTTTTTTTTTCGAAAAAAAGGAATTCATGTGTTTTTTCATTCTATGAGCTTCTATATATACACAAAAGCAACAAAACTTTTCATTCTCGCAAGTTTCTGAAAAAATTTTTTTCTGAATACGAATCACACTCTTCTGTGCAACCCTGCGAAATTGTTATTTGGACTCGTAGAGCCTTTGATGTTTTGACGTTTTCGAGGTGTCATGCTAGTGTTTTATTTGACTTTGTTTTTTTTTCTGTATTGCTTTCAATTTTGCTGTTTTAATGGTTCTCTTCTTTTTGAAACTAAACTTTAATGAAATTTGATAGATTTTTTTATCTAGTTTTGTAACAATTTTGGAACTATTTTTGAATCAACTTTTGGAACTATTTTTGAACCAACTTTTGTACTATTTTTGAACGAATTTTGGAACTATTTTTGTACCAATTTTTGTACTATTTTTTTTATCAATTCTCGTATTATTTTTGAAGTTGCTTTTGTAATATTTTTGTATTAATTTTTCTATTTTCTATTAATTATCGTAGATCCATAAACAGTACCAATAAACAGTACCAATTTCTGGATAAATATTTGTGTACTGTTTAAGGATACAGAAATTGGTTCAAAAATTGCATCAATAACAATTGTTATTAAAGCAACTTTTGAACCAATTTCTGTATAATTTTGTGTACTGTTTGTCGATCTACTTTTTTACCAATCTTTGTCCAATTTTTGAATCAATTTTTGTATCAATTTTCGCACTCTTTTTGAATCAATTTTTGAACCAATTTCTGTATAAATTTATGTACCATTTTTGATTCAACTTTTGTACTATTTTTGGATCAACTTTTGTACTATTTTAGTATCAATTTTTATTTCATAGTTGCACCAATTTTCGTATTATTTTCGCATCAACGTTTGTGCCAATTTTAATAATATTTTTGGTATTATCAATTTCTGTTTTTTTGTATTTTGGTTTTGAAAATAGAATTTCAGATTGCCGGACGTTGTTTAATGTCGGAAGCTGAACATTGGTCACGATATAAAGTGCCTTAACATTTTCCGCAGTCTGTCAAGATTCCGTTTGTTCATCCATCCGTCCGACATTGGCCGACCATCCATTTGGTTAAAACCCTTTCTCTTCGCATCTTGTTAGCACGTTATTCCGTCACGACAACAACAACAACGAGTACCGATTGCGTGACAGTGGCAATTATGCTTGTATTTGCATGTCGTATCAGTCTCTTTCTCTCTCCCTCACTCTCGCTATTCGCTGCCACTAACTTTACAACGATAGCCGCAACCTAGTTGTGCATTCTACCTACGTCCCTCTTTGTCATTCATTTACAATGATGAGCAGATTTCTGTAATTTATATTTGTCAACTGAATCACTCCCGCATCTTAAACTAATTTCCAAACCTTGAATTAGATTTTGGTAAAATTTCATTCTGATTCTGTTATATAGAAAAAAAAAAAAAAAAAATTCATTAATTAATTTGAAAAAATTGTTTCAAAATAATAATTGTGTTCTTTTTTTTCTGGAGAATGAAAATTGGTGACAATGGAATTATTAAAATTACTGAAAAGTATTATTTGGAGTTACTTTGTTAATGAAAAAGGTTTAAAAACCTTTTAGAAATGGTTTTGAAAATTCAAGTTACTAGAGTAATTTCAATCATTAGTTTTAAAATAATTAAATTGAATTATTTTGAATTAATTTGAGTGAATTTGAATTATTTTCAATAATTAAATTTTTACAGTAAACATAAATACTATTAATTAAAGTTTCAATCATAGGAATTATTTAAAGATGGTAAGAAAGCAATTAAATCAAAACAGCCTTTTACTTTAATTATTGATTTAAATTAATTGGAATTAAATTGAATAAAATTGAATTCACTCGAATAAATTTGAGATGTTTCACTTCTTATAATAGTAATTACATTTTACCAGTTATTATAAATATCATTATTGAAAGATTTAATCACTGGAATTATTTGAAAATAAAATAAACAAAATTATCTTTAATTTGCACAATTAATCGAAATTAACTGGAATTAATTTCAATTAATTGGAATAATTTAAAATAATTTCGAGGTAATTCGAATTCATTGAAATTAATTAAAATTTATTGAAATTAATTTGAATTCATTAAAATTAATGCGAATTAATGTCAATTAATTGGAATTCATTCGAATTTGTTGGACTTAATTGGAATAAATTCGAATTCTTTGCAATTAATTGGAATTAATTCGAATTCATTGAAATTAATTTAAATTTATTGAAATTAATTCAAATTTATTGAAATTAATTCAAATTCATTGAAATTAATTAAAATTTATTAAAATTAATTTGAATTCATTAAAATTAATGCGAATTAATTTTAATTAATTGGAATTCATTCGAATTTGTTGGACTTAATTGCAATAAATTTGAATTCATTAAAGTTAATTGTAGTCAAT